GCACCCCACTATAGCCTTGCAAAGTCTCCTCGTGTCTCACATACTGATAGTGCTTTAAGGCGACTAGTATGCCATGGACGGATTGCGATTTCATTTGTAATGAGAACAGCAATAGGCCAAAGAGAAATCCACGCTTAGCCATGGTCTAGTCGACGGTAAGATGGAAAAAAAAACAAAAATTCAAACATAACGGCAGTCTAGTTCAATGGCACCTAATACACAGCTGTGCTTCCGAGCAATTATGACGTGCATCCCTGCAGCTGACACTCTACCTGTTCGCCTACAGAATATTTACGTCCTGGCCTTGATTTCCCAGAACCTTCCGCGTACGTTAATCCCTGCTGCCGACATCTCTACCCATGCGCCTACAGAGTCTACTTTCTTAGCCTGATATTCCACAGAACTCTCCGGCTATGCCAACGGACTTCAAACCAAAAACTGATGCAACTCTCCGGCCGGCGCGTGACCACGGCCTTGCGATTTCTGACGTCTTCATCAGCTGCTTCACCTTCTTCGTTTCAGTTCCTTCGCCTTCTCCACGACTCCCACTCCCCAAGCTAGGAAATGCGCAGTAAGCACTAAATACAAGGAAAAGAAAGATACTGGGGGGAAAAAAGTGACGGTGGTTGTCATGGTAGAGATACTGAGTGAGGATATGAAGAGAGAAAAAACACATACAAGAAGAGGAGTAATACGAGAAAAACAAGAAATGATGAAATGAAGAAACATAAATGGAGAGGAACAGGAGGATTAGGACATGAAAAGAACTTGCTGGGATGAAAGAAACAAGTGAACAGTAAATGGAAAAAGAAGTAAACCATCTGAAACTCATTATAAATGAAAGCTGAAATGTAGAGCTGAAGAAGAGAAAGAAAAAAAAAGCAAGTATCCGAAAAAAACATGCAGAAAGAGAAAGACATGACATACATGGAAACAAGGGAGAAAATAAAACAAAGGACACGGGAAATGCTAAAGATAAACACAAGAAACTGAGAATAAGAAGAAACGAGGACGAACAGCAAGAAGGAAAGAACAATAACAAAGCAAATATGAGGGATAATTACAAGGGAAGTAAGAAAGAAGGGAAGAGGAAAGAAGAGGGACCTGGCACATGTTCAGAGATCATCATCAATGTCTTCTCCCATCTTGGCGCTTTATAGCATGCAGCAAAGGCCAACAACGTAAATGTAGACAAATGTCACATGGCCGAGTTGTAGAAGAAACTTGGCTAGACCAACTCCTTATTAAAAAATAATTTCTTCTAACTTTGGGTACACGGAACTGTCAGTATTTCATAGGGAAAAATTATATATTATATACATATACTATATATCTATATACAGAGAGAGAGAAAAAAAGGGAAGGGAGGGGGGGGAAGAGAGACAGAGAGACAAGGAGGGAGGGAGGGGGAAGGAGAGACAGAGAGACAAGGAGAGAGAGAGAGAGAGAGAGAGAGAGAGAGAGAGAGAGAGAGAGAGAGAGAGAGAGAGAGAGAGAGAGAGAGAGAGAGAGAGAGAGAGAGAGAGAGAGACACAGACAGACAGAGACTTAATCACACATAAACACTCGCACAACCTAATATACACAACATACGCTGTCTTTTGTACTTACAGGCATCCGTTGAAAAGGCGCCATGAAATTTCTCCAACCTATCCAAATTCTCTACACATTCAGACACCTCTCGTGAATCTCCAAATACCGAAGGATGTGGAATCAGTCTCTCTCAGAAAGGCCTGTAGCACACATTTTCTCATTCCTCTTCCTCGCTAACATTCACCTCATACTTGCCCTGGCTGATGCAAGTCTAGGTAACTTTTTCCCAGCTTGGCAAGCCGCCAACTCGAGCCTCTATTCGGTAATACAATTTAAGGTTTATTTCGCAAGAACAATGCATAGATATGTCCTCACTTTCTTCTAATGCACAAGAGAATACGGATTTTTATCTATTTTCCCTCTGTTTATTTTTTTCTTACTCTTCCACTCAACATCGGACAACTTGAAGAAAGTCGATAAATATTACAAGCTATTGTGCATCTCCCATGATTCCGTCTTTGTTCCACCTCTAAGTACTGGAAATATACACACAAACACCAGGAATGACCGAAGAAAACCAGAAATGCGGACTTTCTTCCTTCAACCCTTCATCACCAAGCACATGTAGTGTAGAATATAAATCTAGTCGAGTGAGTGCGTAAACATATTGCCTTCAAAGTGGATTGTTAGACTGTGCTTTGAATCCATCTCGATCATAATGGGCAAACACCACTCTATTATCCCTCCCTGAACCCAAGATTTTTACTCGAATCTCCCTTAAGAACATTTATTTTCAAAGTCGTTATGTTCTATCCCTTATCTCATAACATATCTCACTAAAGACAACCTTCTTCGATATTGGAAACCAGGCTGTGTTCTTCTCTTTGAATCGATATCAATAACATTTCCTTAGTTAAAGACGCGGCCCAGACATTCCGATACCATCCTATTTATCTGAACTCTCTTCACTCCTCTCTCTCTCTCTCTCTCTCTCTCTCTCTCTCTCTCTCTCTCTCTCTCTCTCTCTCTCTCTCTCTCTCTCTCTCTCTCTCTCTCTCTCTGTGTCCAACATAGAGCACCATTAACATTTTACAATATTTAGTTTATTGGTACCTCAAATGAAACTCATCAAGTTCAATATCAAATTTACATATCTGGTTTAATGGCATCTCTAGAGGCCAAATAAAACCCACTGCAACATCTCTTCGATTTCGTCAGGCAATTCTACTTCCAATTCTATCTCTGTAAAATGGTAATCACCAAAGATTCAAAGCCAGACGTTTATTTCTCTAAAAAAAAAAAGATAACCATGCACCTAAACCACCGGCAGAAATAACTTTTAAAAAACATATCAACCATAATGACGACATCCAAAACTATTTCATTCCTAGTTGTAAACACGTCCACGTAACATTCCATCAGTGCTGAAACCTTCGAAATATTGATCCTCTAGGTGACCTATCGTCTAACATTTGGAATGATCTTATATCAAGCTATCTCGTTAACACTGTGCCACTGGCTATACATCCACACAAAAAGTGTTATAATCTTAAAAAAAAATAAAACAATATTCACAGTCGCATGAAAAATGTTTTACGTTAGTTTCCTGTTCTAACGACCGGTTTGTTAAAATTGTGCAATGAATATTCGTTATACGGACTTGTCTAGACAGAAATAAATACATATGTCAGTCTAGACATGCATATCTACCAGATAGATAAATAGATAAATGTATATCAAAAAAGATATATAGACCATTGTGCATTTGTTTCTGTGTATAAGCATGTCCGTAAATATAAATATTAACTGGGTCGGGCCTTGCACAATTTTAACAAACCAGCCCTGAGACTGCAGTTTCTAGAAAAAAAAATGACACTTCATTCTAAGCCCATTCCTTGAACCTTCTCTGTATAAGGTCAACACACCAGTGTTTTAGTGTTTTATCTTTCCTACCTGGTGTTGTCTGCTTTCTTGTACTTACAGTACCGTGCCTCATTCATCCCACTCTTAGCCACAGACATCCCAACGCCTCGCAAATATCCCCCTTTAAAAATACCAACATACATGCTCCAGCATCACTCACGCGCTATGTACGCATTCCCTGGTGAAGATAACCGAGCTATATCTACTCTACGTGTTGCCATGACAACCAGAATTCCCGCGTATTGTGACCTGGTGTGTGCGTCTACTTCTGACCCTGGTATTTTTCTTTTAAACTTTACATTCAGGTTACTTCTTCTTCTTGTGAGTCATAAAGTACGAGGCAACCTACGAAGCTTCATGTTTTATACATATACGATTTCATATGATAATCTATGCATGTGACTTTTAGTCTAACACTCATTTCACATCACACAGCCTACAATGAAGATGCATCTGTGCATTACAGATATTACAAGAACTTCTATAATCAATGCCATCTACTTTACAGACTTTATTTGGCCTCGGGCTCTAAGCGGTACCCTATAATCAAGTTTCTTTTTTTACGCTGAACCATAATCTTCAGCAGGTTCCAAGTTTCTTGCCTTGCGGGGCCAACGAAGATGTCGGTCCTCTATATCTTTGGATCATCTGCTTCCAAACACATGTCAGCGTGAAATTTTGTGAGTTTTATATAGATTGTAAACTTGCTATTGTTCTGGGCACTAGGTTAAAATACTCGGTTAAAAAGGAATCACTTGCCTGTAACAGTACCGAAAAGTTACGCATGCCATTGGCAGAAGCCATGTCATTTGTGATTTCGGTAATAAACATAATATTCCTTTTCTAAACATACTGCCGTTTGCATTCATATCGACGTACTACAAGTACCTCCAACATTAACGGCATTTAGTGTGCTCTCGTCATCAAACTCACTTGCCTTGACGCGTGTTTGGTTCGTTTCCCTTGCAATTCTGCACTCGGATCAATAAGCGAAGTTGAATGGATAGGTTTAACTGCTACTCTAACCGAACACTATTCCATCGGCTACATAACATGACATAAACCAGCCATTATAACTTATCGCACCAAACGCAAGTCATAATTCTTTTTCCAGAAAAAATGAAATTATAAACAAAACTCAGGTAACGCAATGACGTCGTCCACGCCCACGAGATGCGATTGGTCGGCCTTGGAGGTTGGTTTCTGACGTCACAGTCGCGCCACGATGCCGGTGTTAGCTTCAGGCAACGAACGCTCTTTCATCAGAATATCTAGGCATAACTATCTATCGCTACGTAATAAGCGCAATCATTCCGAACTGATTGTTTGCAACTGCTCTCCTGCAAGTAAAATCACTAACATACATTCAAGTATATTACATCACTTGAGAGCAGCATCGATCTGGCTCCCTCACCCAGCTGATTCTACGGCCAACTCATAAAATCTTTCTTTTCGCCGATGAAACACCACAAATACAAAGCTATTCTACTCGCGAACACATTCAACATGCAAAACATAACTAGCACTATTGAAATGACACTTACTCGAGATCCTTCTCTGTTTTTCCAAGCAAAATTATTTGAAATCCTCGCAGCGAAATTGACACACGTCTTTACCGTAGCCATCATCAACCAGTACTAAACCTGAGAGGCCCGAGATGGCGCTTGGTCCTGAGGGGCAGGGGCAGGGGGGTGGGGAGGGGTCAAGTTGGGAGATGAGTTAAGGGGGGGGAGAGGAGGAGGGGTCATATCCAGAGCATAGTTGTGTGGTGGGGGTGGGGTGGGGTTGGAGGGGTCTAGTTGGGAGATGAGTTGGGGGGAGGGGGGGAGGAAGAGGGGTCAAGTTGGGAGATGAGTTGGGGGGAGGGGGGAGGAAGAGGGGTCAATTTGGGAAATGAGTTGAGGGGGGGGGGAGAGGAGGGGTCAAGTTGGCATATGAGTTGGGGGGAAGGGAAGAGGAGGGGTCAAGTTGAGAGATGCGTTTAGAGGGGGGGGGGAGAAGAGGAGGGGTCAAGTTGGGAGATGAGTTGGATAGGGTGGGGGAAGGCGAGTAGAAGTCATGTTCCTGGAGAAATTATTTCAAGGGAGTAGGAGTGGAAAAGATGGGTAAAGTCCGGAGAGGAATTAGAAGGAAACCATACGAAAAAATATAAAAAATGAAATAGGGATTCTGCAAAGGGTTACGGAGG